ATATTACAAGAGGAAGTGAAATTGGATTGTTAAAAACAAAATCTAAGTTGTTATCACGCATTAGCATTTAAACCCAAACGCTTCGTTTTATAATTGGAAATATTCCACTAATTGCCAATCTTCCTCCCAACATTTGACAGTTCTCTTTATACAACCCTCACAACACAAAGAGAAAACAGGAGTTCAGAGTAATATAAAAGCTAATTCTGGACAGTAACTCAGGATTTGTCATGAATTCCATTTAATTAAATATAATATCCTTCTCTTTGCCCTCCGGCAACGGAGAAGAGTTATCTTCTGTTTGATTGAGCTAGCATTCGTCTTACTGCTCAATAGCTTCCTTATTTTCTCTATCGTGTAGCACCACTGACATTTCAACACAGCTTCTAAATTGGCTCTGTGAACAGAGATTGTTAATTGAGTAGTGCAATGGTGCATAAACAATCAGATAAATGATTACATACTGGCTTGTTTTTATCTCAGCAGAGGCAAAACTAAAAATACACAGCAATAGTTAAAAGGAATTCAGTTTTAACACTTTCGAAATTAATGTTTACTTCAATGATTATTCAGAATTATAGCTATCATCAACAATTGAAGGGATCCCTATATACTAAGAGCAAAACGAAAAGTTTTCATGAGACTACCATTGTAGCAATTCCTCTCTTCGGTGTTTTAATTCTTCAATTGACACAGGTAGTTGGGTAAGAATCACCAAGAACAACAGAGCTGTATTTATTTTATTTATTATTAAGCACCCATGCTGCCCATTTCACCAAGATGACTCTAGGCAGCTCAAGGTCATATAATTAAAATACAATATAAAACCTTAAAAGAATAAACAAAAACCAGACATTTAAAATCCAGTTGTATTTGCTCCTTTCACCATTATATCTCTCTGAAATATTAGGCCCTTTAACTGGCTCATATTACGGAATTTTAAATAGTGAACACTACCCAGTTCAAGACGACAATACTAATCTATAAAGCTCTGAAGAAATTGAGATACATGAACCTGCCCCAAACGTACAAAATAACTTCTAAAGTAATTATCTCTACCTGGACAAATGAGATTGATGAACTCTAAAAGTGACAGAGACTTTTTGACAGAATCCTCAATTCTTCGAAGGGAGATCAAATTACCCTACCTGAACTTTGTACTCCAAATGACCAATGCCATGTTGTCAAATTGAAATTCTACTGCTCTTTAAACTACTTTTTTGGTTGCATGATGACAAATGCTCTCTTCCTTCCATCTTTCTTTTAATTGGTACAAAATACCTGAATTTTGGACATTGTCCTGAATGCCATTGGAAAGATGACTTATAAATGATGTCAAATCAATAATGTTATTTATAAATTATGTCAAATAAATAACTGATATTGGACATATCACCAGAACATGGAATTACTGCCTCTCAATCCAATAAAAGGGCTTCCTGAGCAAGACATTAGACTGGCCAGATTATTTTCTCTTGCACCATGTGAACAGCTGAAATACAACACATGTACTCTCTGAATGTGAGTGTTAACCAGTATTAGAAGCTGAGAGAAATGCATTTCATTTTGTTTCTTCTGCTGATACTTAAACAAAACTGGCAATGCCAGAAATTGTTGGCAAACTTGGATGAAAAATATTTTGACCTGAAGAATTAAGTATGCAACTTGGATTCTCCAATGTCAGCTTGTACCAATTATTATTGGGTCAAATCCTGTCCCAGCCTTTATTATACATCTGACAAAATAGGTCAGCATTTCATTAAGCTGCATGATTGGAAAAGCAGCTTGAGCTGACAAAGATTATAGTTACAAAACTGGGAGAAAGAGTGAAATTACTTTTGCAATCTAGAGTAAGAAATAATTTTGTAATTCTACTTGTATTTGCTGCAAAGAGAATTGGAAGCTTCTTTTTATTTCATGTTAGTCTTTTTCCCCTTCCTTCCTTCTTTCCTTCCTTCCTTCCTTCCTCTCTCTATTGTGGTGTTTTAACTTTTGACTGGGAGCAACCCAAAATTGGTTAGCAGGCAGGTGGCTGTACAAATGTTTTAAATAAATAAAATGTGTTTGTAATGTTCTTGTAAAACTTTCAATAAAATGTATTTAAAAATGTTACAAAGTGGGAGGCTTATCTGGGAAGAAGGGAACATGGAGACCACTGTATGTGCTTTGTTTAGGCATAAAAAAAGCTATAATCACAGCAACCCGAAGCAGATGCAAACTCCGTTGAACATAGAGCTGCCTTAAAGAGAGTCCATTGCTATGTAATGGATGTGCTTTGATCTCCCTTCTTATATACCCAGTTATTTGTGATATAAAAAAGACGCTTTAAATATATGTTGCTGATAACTGACTGCACTATTTGCAAAAATATACCATCCTACTATTAAGAATATTGAGAGGTTCAACATTCACAATAAAATTAACAGACTTGAAGCAAGTACTTGGGAAAATCTATGTCCTAAGATAACAAACCTACAAGACGGGGTTTTTAATATTTGTAATCTTGCAGCATGAAGAAACAAGAGCTGAATGTGTTTGGTAGATGCAAGGCCGAGGGAGTCCAAATTTCTCCTCTAACCATTTCTCCATAAACAACCAAGTTACCGTATTTTATAATTTTAAACCTCACACTAAACTTAACATCATTACTGCAATAGAAGAAAATATATGTAGCTCGTGATTGAATTGTGGAGTTCTTGGTGCTCTTTGACGTGATTGTTTGGCTTTGCAGACATTAAATTACCCAAACTGGATTCACACTGATGAAGCTCTCAGCCTCTGTTTTGCTGCTTGCTTTTCAGCTGCCATTGAAACGGGGAGGGAGGGCATGGTATTTGGGTGGGGGAAATAATCTGTACAGGAGGAATGTTAATTGGGACTTGTTCTCACCATCTTCTGCGCATGTGGCAAGGAGGGGAGTTTCCCGCCAAGGCCAACTATCCGGCAAACCAACCT